AAAAAACTCCCCCCCCCCCCCCCCCCCGTCAATGAACTAAACAATGTGAAAAGAAATGTGATAGAGAAAATAAAACAGGAAACAAAAGAACCCATATGAGCCAGGTATCTTTTGAAAGTTTCCAAAGTAAGTATTTCACAATTTATTACCATTTTACCCTTGCTTCACTTGCCTAGAATTGCACTGCTGTTACTTTTGAAAGGCATAAGGACAGAACATAAATTGCTGGAGGAGAACCAAGACTGGCCTTCACCCACTTTCTTCTTATTATTCAATCAGATAAATAAAAATAGAACTTTCTTAACATTAGGTCATTTTTTTGCCAGCTTAAACGTGAATGCCTTTTCATTGTACTAGCCATTGAACTGGTACTTTCAGCAGAAAGTCAGTCTGGGGATGGAGAACAGGCTAAGTCTGCTGTTGATTTTAAATTGTAATGCCAGTTTAATTATAAATGTGCAAACCCCATTAACTTACAGGTGGTAAATATGTAAACTTTAGGGCTGTGTAGGGAAAGACAACCAACACATAAGCAACCTTCCCAGAAGCAGCTGCTTAACCACTATATGAAACAGTGCTAAAAGAAGTAACATCCAGTACCATCGTAAAACGATGCTTAAAACTGTGATATGCATTTCAAGTTCCAAGGAGAAGAAAAAGTTACCAAAACTCTACTGTATTAGAAATCTCAAAAGTTACAGATCTGTCTCACACCAGAGACAGGCATGCCACAAATTTACTCAAGGCTCAGCAAGCCCAAAGTTACTTAAGTCTTGAAAGGCAGACCTTCTGTGACAGGACCTTTGGATTTCAACTGAGAAGGATTACTGAAAATGCTAGAGCAGTGTTTGGAAGTCACCGAAGAGCTAACGCCTGTCCATGCTGTACCCAACAGGGGAACAGATACCTATGTTTGCAGAAGCAGCTAGTTTCAAAATTATCAAAGAGGATTTTTAGCCAAATTCTCTCTCAGGGAAATGCTGGGAAGCCTTGGCAGGAGAAAGAAAGAGACCTGACTATTGAGAAGATTGTGCAGAAAATGCCCGTATTAGTAAATGCAACCACAGTGGAGGTGGTGAAATTAATGGAAGACAGTGTTGCAGTGGGTTTCAAACTGCTCCTGGCACTGAAAAGAATAAAAAGAAACAGCACATGGCACCCAAAATTTAAAGAAGATTAAGAAAAATTCTTAAAATCTGAAGCTGAAGGGACAGCTGAAGGAAACTGTGAGTCTGACAAGATACAAGTGACTAGGAAAACACTAAATGGTAAGGCACAATACAAGTAAGTGCAATTCTAGCTAGAACAGCCAAAATGAAAGGTGCTTGAAAGATCTGGTAAGATTAAGGTAATGCAAAAACTAAACAAATAAAGCAGGCAACATACAAGTAAGAGCTGCTGCTTTGGATTGTAACGTTCTGTGTTTTCAGCGTTAACTGGATATCCTCACCCCACAGGAACGACACATGCACTGAAATGACATGCCACTTCCATGCAGTATGTCTCAATGAGCATTATCATCTTAGAAACTCTGATGTTATTTTGACAGCGAGTGTGCTTGATTATTTAATAACTCCTCCATTTAAAGAAAAAATAACTTAAAGCTTCTGTTGATTGACTATGGTTAAATGTCACACGAGATCCTTCCCTGAAGCCTTCAGCAAGTTCAGTTCTGCTCTTCCAAGCACCTACATGGGACAGCCTAATACGGCCAAGAAGAGACTAAGTCCCCTGCAGAAGGTGTCACCTGTCTGTCAGACAGCTACCCGTCAACTTCTGCTTCACCATATTGTGCAGTTAGGTTGTTTGTTCCCAGCGTAACCTAGTCGTTGTTACCTATGAGAGACTAAATGGCATTTTTTTAATCTGTAACGAGCCACTTCCGTAAACGCTGCATTTGCACAAATTCTGTAAACCCAAATCGGTATTCTTTGCAGTACGTATTTCCAGACATTGCTCTGCTCTTTACACTGCTATGCCTGGACAGCTTATAAATAATCAGGGTCACCAGACGCCAGAACTGACTGACACGGTGACAGGACTGTTAGAAGCCTAAGGCTAGACCTGGGGTGCTCCATGAGTCAGCCGCTCAAATTACCGTCGAGTGATTCTCATTCTAAGGAAAAAAAACCCCGCACCAACAGGCAAACAGGTTAGGCAACCACAGGGTATTTGACGCATGTTCCTCGGCTCCCGCCACGGCTTTCGGAACCGGCAGGAGCCAAGAACCTGACCCGCTACGCACCTCTTTGGTCCCGTGCCACGCCGAGGGCCGCGGACGGGCTGCGGATTCTGCCAAGCGCCGTGCGGGGCCCGAACGTTAAGCCAAAACCCACCGGTTTAACCGCGGCACGGAGCACCTGCACCAAGCCCCCCGCCCGGCGGAGGCCAGGAAGCCCGCTGCCCAGGCCTCCCACGCAAGCCCAGCACGACTTCAGCCCGGCCACGCCAACTTATCGAAAGGGCCGCGGCCGGAGCGGGGCCGCCGGCCGCCCCTTACCCTCCTGCAGCAGGCGGCTGGGCCGGACCGGGGGGACGCGGAAGTGCCGTGCCCGCCAGCCGGGCCGCGGCGGCCGCCCCACCTCCCGGTCCGACAACCAGGTGACGGCCTCGTAGTTGTCGCCCCGCAGCAGGGCCGCCGCCTCGGCGCTGTGCACCGCCACCTCCTCGAAGTGCTGCAGCCCGCCCGAGTGGTCGAAGTGGACGTGGGTGGCGACGGCCAACAGCGGCCGCCGTCCGGCCCCCTCGGCCGGCTCCACCAAGCCGGCGGCGCGCAGGTAGTCGGGGAGGCTCCGCAGCCCCAACCCGGCGTCGATCACCACGTCCCGCTGCGAGCCCCGCACCAGCCAGATGTTGGCCCGGTTGCCCGACTCGTAGAAGCGCTCTTGGATCCAGAAGATGCCGTCGCCCAGGGGCTTGTGCGCGAACCACTCCAGCGCCGACATGGCCCGCCCGGGCCCTCGTCAGCGACGAGCTTTCCCCTCCTCAGCCCCCGCCCGCCTCAGCGCCGCGGCGGGCGGGGCGGGGCGGACCCGGGCCCGGCCCACTGCGGCAGCGGCGGGCGGGTGAGCGAGGGAGCGGGGGATCCGTGAGGGGCGGTGAGGGAGA